TTTTTTTTTGTTTCTAGCTTTTTTTTTTTTTTACAGTTTTTCCCATCATTATCATTGTTATCATTATCATTAGGAATAGTTATAGTAAGTCATAAATAAACATTAGCAACAAATAGTATAAAGATAACAAATTTTGGATAAATGAGACAAAAAGAAAAAGGAAAGAAAAGCAACATAAAAGAAATATTATCATATTTTTAATAAATTTAATTTTAATTAATTATTTTTTTAGTAATTAAAAAAAAGGAAGGAATATTTTTCATTTTTTAAACGTTTAATAATATTTATACATTTAAAAAAGGAAAGGATGGAAACATTTGAACAAAAAAAAAGGAAAATTGAAATACTATAAAAAACTATCACTAATGATAAAAATGGAGAAATTTTGATAAATTATAGGATTGATAGAAAAACGGAAGGAAGTTAAAATTAAAGTACATTTTTCATTTTAAACAGTTTTTTTTTTTTATTTTGTTAAAAAAGAACAAGGAAGGATCAAAAATGAATTTGAAGTTGAAATATTACGAAAAGAATAAATGTTTCGTCCGCTTTTCTTTTCATAAACAAAATTAGAACTGATTGAATACTTCCTGAAAGCAATTTTAAAAAAAAAAAAAATTAAAAAATGTCAACATACATTTGCAATGATAATTATGGATTAAACGGATATACAACATATGTTTATCCCTTTTTTACTGCTACTTTTGTGGAATTGTAATTTAAATATAAAAATTAAAATTCTGAAATTTAATGATAAAAAAGTCCAAAAAAAAAAATTTTAAATTAAAATATATGAAATATAAGAAATAATTATGCATAAATGATGAACAAAATTAATGATAATCGGATGGAACGGAAGAATTAATTAAAAATTAAAGGAATTCAACAGGATTGTTTCACCATATGATACAAACCATCATTCTATAATCATGAATAAATTAAAATTTAAGTATTTAAAAAAAAAAATTGGAAAGAATATTGAAGCTAATGTATGAAATATGAATAGTCCTTGTGCATAAACGATTGAAAAAAAGAAATTAATAATAATTAATTGGAACTAATAAACCAATTAAAGATTAAAAGAATTGATCGGATAATTTCATCATATCATGCAACTTATCATTCTATCACAATTAATAATCTAATAAAGAAACGATTAAATGAAATTTAACAAATCAATCAAATTAGCATTTTAATTTTGAATAAATTCTTTTCGCTGCCATAATTTATTCGAAAACAAAAAAAAAGTTACAACCAAAATTTCCTCGTTTTTTATTATTTTTGTTTTTGTTTTTTTTCCTTTTTTATTTGAAATATTTCATAATTATTGCATGCATAAATATTATCAAAAATAAATTGTAAATAAAGCATAAATAATTAAAATATGAAAATGGAAAAAAAGAAATTAAAAATTGGAAAATTTTTTGATTTAAATAAAAAAATTTCGAAATTAAAATAATTGATTTGAAAATTTCCAGCTTTGTTTATGATTGATTATCTCCATTTTTCCAATGATTAATTCTTTTCTATGATTGTTTGTCATTTGGTATATTACAATGAATTGAGAAAATATTTCCTTCAATGAAATCATGCAATAAATACCTATTCAATTCTTTAATGTTTCTAAAATACTTCCTGATGATATCATAATAAGAAAAATTTTAATCCTTTCAATTCCATTCCATTTTATCCTTTCCTTCCTTTTTGTCCATAAATGCACTATATTGTGTTCATTTTATTACAATTGTGATATCATCAGGAATAATACGACGACTAAGAGATATAATTTATCGAGCATACTTGATCAAAATTCTCAAAATTACCTATTCAATGGTAATTCATGAAATTTGTCTCCTTACATATGTCGCATAAATAACACATAATAATAATAACAATAATAGCAATAATAATAATAATAATAATAATAATAATAATAATAATAATAATAATAATAATAATAATAATAATAATAATAATAATAATAATAATAATAATAATAATAATAATAATAATAATAATAATAATAATAATAATAATAATAATAATAATAATAATAATAATAATAATAAT